CACTTTTCCGGAAAAACTTGCCAGCTGTCTACACTGGCCGCTTGAATTTCCGCAAAAGCACTGACTTCCTACTGTAAGAAATCAATGCTTTTTGTGGAAATACTATGCTGCTCCCGTTCAGGCAAAAGTCCCTTTTGCGCAAAAGGGCAAGTGTAGACAGCTGAGATTTGTTTGCTGCAAAAAAGCCCCGATTGCGAAATTAGCAATTGGGGCTTTTTTGCGCAAAAGTGTATCTAGGTTGGCACGGACGCTTTTCCGCAAAAAGTGCTTTTGTGGAAAAGCGTCCATGCCAATCTAGACGCTCTGTTCTGAAAATGCTTTTAACGGAAAACTTTTCCATTAAAAGCATTTCTGGAAAATCATGCCAGTCTAGACATAGCCCATAACTTTCTGAAGAAAGAGTTTTCGTAGGCTTACAAACAGAGTTGGAAAACTAGGTTGGCACGGACGCTTTTCCGCAAAAAGTGCTTTTGTGGAAAAGCGTCCATGCCAATCTAGACGCTCTGTTCTGAAAATGCTTTTAACGGAAAACTTTTCCATTAAAAGCATTTCTGGAAAATCATGCCAGTCTAGACATAGCCCATAACTTTCTGAAGAAAGAGTTTTCGTAGGCTTACAAACAGAGTTGGAAAATACACAGGTGAAATAACAGAGCTGATAGATAAAGGACGAGAGAGGGTTGTACATGAACACAAGTATTAGTTCTGTTTTGGGGCCCACAGCAATGATTCCGAGAGAGGGTGGGAGGAAGTCTGCTGCTACTCCCCGGTATAAATGTGTGGCTATGTTGAAACAGCAGCATTATTTCACAATAAGGTGTGTCTAGACTACAGGGATTGTTTGAAAAAAGCAGCCTTTTTTCAAAAAATCTTTACTTGCATCTATACTGCCACTGCATTCTGTTGACAGTAAATCGAAAGAACGCAGCGGTTTTGTCTACTGTGGAAAACCTCGTTTTATGAGGAATAATGCCTTTTTTTGAAAGTACTCTTTCGAAAAAGGTGCTATGTAATGCAAACTGTGCTTTTTCAAAAGAGAGCATCCAGACTGCCTGGGTGCTCTCTTTCGAAAAAGCAGCTTGCTTTTTCAGAAGTACTGATTGTAGTCTAGACGCTCTTTTTTAAAAGAGGCTTTTTTGAAAGTATCTTTCGAAAAAGCCTCTTTCGAAAAAGGCATGTAGTCTAGATGTAGCCTAACTGATGTTATTCTAAAATAACATAGTCTGTGTCTACACAGCAAGCAGTTATTTCAATATAATGTCAAAATAAAGTCGAGCTGGAGGACTTCTTTTTCTGACTTTTTTAACCCTCATTTTACAAGGAGAAAGGGAAATCGGAGGAAGAGTGTTCTATCTTGGACTTCCTGCTGTGTAGACAGCAGCAAAAGCCGAAATAAGCTATTTCAACTTATGCGTCGCAATCAATATAGCTCAAATTGTATAGCTCATTTCAGCTTCAGCCCTGCTGTGTAGACATGCCCTGAAGTAATATTGCTCAGGCCCTTGATGGAGTGCTGTGACAGAATGAAGGGAAAGAACTGCTTGTTGAGTGAATTGTTAGCTTTGGATTGTTGTATACCACATAATTGGAAGTTTCTGTTGTTTCCCCTCTTCTCATTTAGGGAGAGAGCTATGTGAAACTGTGATATTGGCAAGAAATACATTATCTACAAGAAGGAAAAATTGGGGCACTTGATTGGAAAGGTAAAACATTGCTACAGGGACATAGAGTGATATTGACTAAACATGAAGTAAAACAGGAACATTTTCTTTAACCATTTTCAGTTGCAATAATCTTAGCTATTACACTGGAAGATACAATCTCAAGCTGGTGAGGCGGTGTTCCTTTAAGTAACAACATTCTGAAAATCTTCCTAAAGCAATTGATATGTATATACATTTTTATTTAAGTCTGACTAGGAATTTCCTACAGTGTTTAGAAAAAAAATCAGAACAGTTGTTGCACATGTGGCATATATAACCATGTAGTCGATTCTTTTCTGTGTTCTGAACCTTTACTTTTCAGCATTGTGCTCTGGGCAGAGCCAGCTGCCATTTTCTGAGGCACAATCAAAGCATCATGTTATTCACTATTAATCCAGACTATATAAAGATCAAAACTAGACAGGAAAATAGATCGCTGTCCATTAATATTCTCACAAGCTATACAGTGTTCCTTCACACACTTGAATTATTGCATCAGAATCACTGTAGATCTCACATTGTACTTCAAGAGCCTATGGACCACTTTCGCTCAAAACAAAAACAGCAGCAGTATTAGCAGTAGTTAAAACTTGTGTGTGTGTTACCAAGCCAAGAAATACTTAGCAAATAATGAACATAATAATAGGAATCAAGGACAATTATGATTGTAGTTACAAGCTGCTAATAATTTTTTAATTAACAAACAAGTTTCAACAACAAATTACTGTTCTTATTACTTATGGCAAGATAAACTCCCACACAATATAAAATACTCTAAGGGTTTAGGTGTATCATCTTCTGTCTTTTCATTGCTCTTGTTCTGGTTCAAGCAGAGGTCTGAGGGATAGAGAGGAGAGAGAGTGGATTTTTCTATGAGTACTATGTCCTGGTTCCCCAAGAACACAGAGCTGGTAGGTAACAATAGTTCCCAGATGGATGCTGGGGATTACTGGTAGCATAGTAATGTACACTAGGGAAGGGGACAGCAATATAAAAAAACCCTTTCTTTTGATTGACAGACAGAAGCTAGGGAAGAGTAAAGGCTGGCAGTG